GCAGGGGTTTGAAAGAAACAACAAAGAAAAAAAAGTTCACCATCATTTATTCCCCAGAGCTGCTCTGATGTTTGACGACAGACAGAAAACTGTTTCAACATAAACTGAAAATATGAGCTTTGAAATACAAAGAAAAGAAATGCTACTAAAGCTCTCTGTAGCTCCACACATGCAGACCTGAGATAGTTCGAACGCATCCCTGCTCCGGTTCAGCAGGTGGAAACCATGAACACAGCTGCTCCACCTTTACTCTAGATGAAAACTACCAAACATACTTATGATGAGCTCTGAGCAAATGTTGCTAATTATTCTAGTAAATGATTTATCAGTTAGCATTTAAAACAGTGTTGCAGTGAACGCTGTGCCTTCATTAGACATGTCTACACAGCATCATGTGCTGCTGTCGCAGCCATCCTCAGACTGGACTCATGGACAGTCCCACTCGTTAAAGAGCTAATTTGATCAGTCTCACCTTGTAGGGCAGCATAAAGTCGTGTTACTACAAACATCAACACGTGGAGGCTGAGGGCAGTCACAGGTCTCTGAAGGCACACAGCTGCACTCTCTCTTGGCAGTAGAGAGCCAGCACAGATGGGTCTTTGAGAACGCTCAGCTCGTGCTGCCTGTCGGCAGACTGGGAGAAGTCGTCGGGGCCCTCGCCACAGCCTCCCTCCTTGGGCTGACTGGGGTACCCCGGGTGGACCATGAGCTCAGCTGTGACCACAGGCTGATGTGAACCCTGCACAGCGCTGGAGGTAGAGGACGAAGGGTTTGCAGCCAAGGCGTAGCTGAGGGCCCTGTGCAGGCTCGGGACGGACATGTTCTGCCCCATGGTGGTCAGTCCCAGGTACACATCTGGCCACCTGTGGAGGAGGAAAATCGTTGATTCATGTTTATCATCAACATCAGAAACTCTACAAACTCTCGTCCTCCAAGTGTCCAGTTTCCTTTATTTAAAGACTCTCCACACTCTGCCCAGCAGCTCTTTGGAAACTCTAATGAGACACTTTTAAGCCTGTCACAACGTCTTAGCAAAGATATTGACGTTAAAGGCAGCTAGTCCTTTACTAAGTTTCAGTGTTATGTGTAGAAACACCGGTTCATCGCTGTGTCCTGAGTCAGGAGTGTTTCCTGTGCTTGAGTCACAGGTCAGTGTTGAGCTTCCTCTGGAAACAAGCATCACACTGAACAAATGAGTGAAACGCTGCCAGTGTTCAGACTTCAGACAGTCTCAGAAAGTGTGGTGAGTTTGGACAGCACTGTGAAACAACCACTGAAACCTGAGCTTGATGCTTAAACTCAGAGTAACTGTAGAGCTGACTGGGCTCATCTCCACAGACAGCAGGACAAAGAGCAGCCAGCATCCAGCTTTGATGAAACCTGGAGAATTATTTCTGAGGACTATTTAAACACAAGCGCCCCACAGAGTCTGTGATGGAGAAGAAAGGTGGTCACACCAAATACTGATTTTCAGGTTAGAGTTGTGTGAACTCTGGTTTTGCCTGAGGTGTGTTTTTCATGTATGCTCACACATTTGTTTCATTGCTGCATTTATTTCCTGTTTTTGTAGCAAACTAAGTAAATCTGTCTTTGTTCTAATACAGTAATGTGCAAAAGTCTTGAGCTGGTGATACACGCACTATATAAACTGATCATCAATAAGTATGATGATCAGTCTGCTTCTATAAAAGCAGAAGCTTTTGCAGGTTTGCATTCAGGAGTGTGTTAGTATAGAAATACAGGCAAAGATCATGAATCTCTGCTGCTTTCTACACAGAAGCCAC